TTGTGTTCCCTCTCTCGCTGTCTCTCTGTCAAATAAATAAAAAATAAATAAAATCTTTATAAAAAAATAAAATTAGTTCAGGAGAAAGCAAAAGAAAAGAAGAAAACTGAGTAGTCTCTTGTCTCCACTTCCTTATTGTTCTCTCCTCTCAGTTTCCTGTCATCTGCCTTCTGCCTACATTGTTTTACCTGGACGTGCCCCCTCAAAGGTTACCAGAAATCTCTTGTTGTTTTTTTAACTTTCTTGACCTCTGAAGTCTGACATGTTTGTCTTCTCCCCTTGATCTCTGCCCCATTGCATAGTAGAAAGCTCGGCCTTTTTTCTCTTTTGTTGGCTGGACATTGTCTCTTTTACTTTTTTTTCCCTCCTTCTTCCATCCTCAGCCATTTTTACCATCTTAGCAATTAATCCAATTGGTTTACCTGTCACTACTAAGTAAATGCCTCTTTAAAAAACTGTTTCATAGAATGGGAGTTATTGTAAACAGATGAAAAGATACAGAAAATAAACCTAGAGAGCACCCATCATTTAATATCTTGGTATATGACTTTTAGACTGTGTGCAGACTGAGACTGGACATCCTCACCCTCAGGCTTCTTGTCAAACTGTTTGCTTGAAAAATTTAATTAGGTTTTAAAAAAATGATCAGAGTAGCGAGAATTAAAGGAGATGGCAAATGCACATGGTAAAATCAAAGTCCCCAACCTTCTGGGGGCTCGTGATCTCACTCTTGGATTATTTCAGTAGTACTCTGATGGGTCTCCCTGGTTTTGGTTTCTTTTTCACATTATTATTTGGATAAACTTCCTAGAGCCATGAATATTTCGCGTATCACTCTTTCTTCAGAGATTTTTAGTGGCTCTTTGTTACTCTGAGAATCAAGTCGAAATGTTAATAGCTACTTCCTACCACTATGGTGTCTAAAGTGAGGTTTATACTAGATGATCCATTGAGATGTAGGAAGAATATATTAGAAATTCTATTTATACTTTTATATTTATCCCTTAAATATTTTTTATTTTTATGCAGGTTTACATTATATGTATTGTATTAGTATAGTAGTACATCTATTAATTTATAACTGAATGGATAGATAGATACTGATGGAAATGAAGAGAGAGACATAGAAGGTGCATGCACATCTTCAGTGAAAAAACCAGAAAGCAAAAGAGCATGTACCCAGTTATTACAGTAATCCAAAATAATAATTTTTATTTGATAAGAAAGCAGTGGGATCATAAGCTTGAAATTCATATGTTAAGTTTATGAAAGCATATTGTTTATATATATTTTTTATTTTAAATCCAGGGGGCTTGTTTATGTACACATACATACATATACATATGTGTGTGTATACACAAACACACACACACACATATATATTTTTAAGTAAGCTATACGTCTAACATGGGCCTTGAACTCACGACCCTGAGATCAGGAGTCGCATGCTCTACTGACTGAGCCACCCAGGCGCCCCTCTTAATATATTTTAAAGTTAAATGGTTAATTCTCAATAGTGGGAAAATAGGAAATTGTTATTTTTCTTTTCATGCTTTCTATACATTTTTTTTTCTATTTCCACAAGAAAGCCGCTCTGGCCAGCAATCTTTCTCTTCTCTAGAGTCCAGTAGCACTTCCTCGTGTCTTCATGGCAGTTTGTCTTACTCTTCCTCGGGCAAGCTATTTCACATGTGCTATGCTAGACACTGCTAGATGCTGAGGACACGAAGACATACACTGTTTCAGGGAGTAGTGTCTTGTTTTTAGGGAAGAAAAAGGTGCAACCAGTTGTAACAGAGTACAGAATGCAGTCAAAGCACAGGGGGACCATCTGGAAGTGAGAGAAAGCTGCTTACTCCACATCATGTGTGAATTATCTTCGGGACTTTCAAGCTTCTTGAAAACATGAGTATGAACACTTTTTTGTGGGATTTATTTTTTGGAGAGGGATTGAGTTGGGTTTTATATTACTTGTAACTGCAAGTCATAAAGTTTTACTTTTTTACAGAACACGTTTAATTTTGATTTTTAAAAGTAGGTAACAAGTTCAGATAGTAAACAATGAAAATGGCATAGAAAGTTATACATTAAAAAGTCTCAGTGCGGGGTGCCTGGGTGGCTCAGTTGTTAAGCGTCTGCCTTCAGCTCAGGTCATGATCCCAGGGTCCTGGGATTGAGCCCCGCATCGGGCTCCCTG